GCGGCGGCGATTCAATTAACATTGAATATGAGGAATAGGCATAAGCAGCACCGTCAGATACAAATGGAGTTACAGTACAGAAGAGAATGTCGGCAAATGAGGCTAATGCACCGAGGATGAAGTTCGATCTGCGAATATATCATACTCATCAAGATTACGGAGTTATTTGGCGAATCTTTTCTAATCAAAATGGATAATAGTACCACCGGAGTTGAGTCACGGTTAAAGTGGGATTTTAAGCCGGTATTGCAATCGGCCGTCGAAGCTGCCGGATTGAAACCAGGCGTCCATCGGGAAATTTTATGTCGTTTGATTTTTTTTTTAATCCCTGTAACAAATCAGTAATTGTATTAAGTAAATATAAGATAAAAAAATAAGTTTAATGGGATGTAAATAAAAAGTAAATTACTTGTAAAAGTAACATTAGATATTTACTGTAAATTTTTACCGCAAAACCTATTACTATCCTAATTGAGCGACACGTGTCCTGGAGAAAAAATTTCTTTTATATATATCTAAGATTGGCATTATGGACTGGAGTTCTCATATTCCATATTCAAATCAGTAATTCGAGTCCATCCATATGGATGCATGAAGTTTTCAATTAATTAGCATTTTTATCAACAACGTTAAAAGTTTGTGTGCCTAGAAATTGAGTGACGTTGTATGCTGAACCGCGAGGTTGAAATTCAATTGTCATCATAGAAATAGGCATTAAGGAATTGATTTATAAATGTTCAACAGGTTTTTTTGGGTAAAAATGTTCAACAGGTTAGTTAAACAAATAAGAAATTTGTCTACATTAATGGCCATGGAGAACTGAACACACTAAATAAGAGAGAGCACATGACAAATATTACCTTTTTTTTCATCTGTCGATTTAAGGTGAACCCAAATTTTTTTTCATCTGTTGAACTTCATTTGCAATGTACCATTAAATACAAGTTTTCCAATTTAACCCTTATCTCTCTCTATTTTTAATATCATATATTAATGATAACTATCTATTCTTTTACTTCAATTTTAAATTTTTGTATAGTTCCAATACTTTTAACAAGGGGCAAAAAAAATATTATATTAAAAATATATGTACAAACCCTAAAGTGATAGATTAAAAAAATGGAGATAGTAGCATTTTTCTTATGCTAATAATATCTCCTAGTAAACCACACCTCCTATTAGTTATAGGTAGAGGTCTGCCCATGATAACAATATATAACTGAACTCACCAAGGGATTGAAACGATTGGAGTCTTCCCCAATAAGATTTGCGCTTGATAATGATCTATATAGTATTTTCTAGTTTTTGTTTATTTAATTATCATATTAAGGTTAATTCAATATTTTTCTATCCGTCGCATTTCATTTTCAATAGAACATTAACTCTATATTTTTTCAATTTTACTTTTATATATCTCTAATTTTAATAGTAACACTAGAGACAATTACCTATTCTTCTACTTAGTTTTCTATTTTTCAAACCAAATATATTTAATTAGTGACAATATATGCAAGGCACTCATAATTTAATTTTGCAATGATTATTTTCTTAATTCATGTATACACCCTAATGTCATAGTTTAAAAGAAAAAACTCCCTTTCTGAAAAACCGCGCCGGCCTAATATATAGTTAGATGGATGGCGGAACCGGCAGGAAAGAGTTTGAAGAACGTCTTGAGCTTAAATTCATTTATGTTGCCACTTTGTTAATCATATATTGCTAACTTTATTACTCTTTCCTCCACTTTGCTAATAGAAAAAAAAAAAAAAAAAACGAATAAGGTCTTCAAGACGCATCATGCATCCTGATAGGGTTAAATTAGGATCTCTATCAACAATGTTAAGCTTTACTATTTGGATCGTAGGACGCGGTGGGGGCCATAAACAAATGATCGATATAAACAATGAATATTTCTTTTGAGATTGTCCAATAACTAGATTGTACACTTGAAGATTCACGTGTATACTTTATAATTTCATGTGTTACTGAATCATTTTACAAATGACTTCATTATCTCTAGAACTCACACGTCTATAAATACAATTAGTGAAACTATGTCAAAATAACCAAAAGACTTTTCACCTCTTTTATTGGGCTATTATCTTTTTGAAAAAAACTTTTCACCTCTTTTATTGGGCTATTATCGTTGATTAAATTATTTACTTCTCACAGTTTATCCTCTCTTATGGCTCCTAAGCTTGCCAACTACTACTGCATTCTCCTCTTGATTCTTGTAGCAGCATGTAAGCAAAAAAACTGATTTTAATTTATTGTTTTTCTGATTTCTTCTGTTCATTAATTAATGCATGTACACATATTTTTAACGTTGAGAGTTTTGAGAATAACACATTAGTTATACATTATAAATTTTTACTTGTAATATATAGAACACTTAATACCTAAGTTGGCCTCAAAACCTTTCTGGCTTAACAGTTCGATTCATCCTCCTTGCACTATATTTACTTAAGTGATGAATAACATATCTTTTCCTGACGTTGATAGCTCATTTCACAGTTGTGATGATGATTGAAGTTGAGACCTCCTCGGAAGACAACACTTCTAATATCCGAAGGCAAAGCACGAAATACCATGATATGAAAATACTGATAAGAAAATTGCTCCAAACTGAAAATCTGTGTACTGGTAGTCAATTTTGCACTGGTATGGGTACAACATCAACATGTCCTATTGACTGTTTTTACAAATTGTGACATGCTCTCTCTCTCTCTCTCTCTCTCTCTCTCTCTCTCTCATATTATTATCGAAACATGGGATCATGTAATTTTAAGAACCTCTACAAAAGAGGCTACCTGGGTGAAACTTAAAATATGGTTTCTGTTATAAAATAAATATAAAGAACTGTAGAGAAAGAACAATGGAGGGAGAAAATAAGTTGAGAGAGGGAAAGAAAGAATTGATCTGTATTATTTTTGCAGAGACTGCTCTCCTTTTATGGAGGAGATAGATACAAGGATAAGAATAAATAATGATAATATCTAACTATAATAATATCTAACTAAATACTATCTCTGAACAGTTGATTCCTTGTATAACTCTTCTGACTTGTGGACATCCACATTAAATATTTATAACACTCCTCCTTGAATGTCCATGTTTGAGATAATACCTCGTTAAAACCTTTACTAGAAAAATCCAGTGGGATAAAAATCTAATAAAGAAAAAAGATTAGATTCTCAGATATTACGCTGTCTCGTTAAAAACCTTGTCAGGAGAACCCATTGGGACAAAACCTCGATTAAGGAAAAAATAGTACAACGTAGGGTTACTCCCCCTGTTGAATGCATCACTTGTGATCTTCTCACTGCATGCATGAATAATCTTGAGTTCAGAATATAATGGAGTTCTCTGTAGGAGAATTTCCAATGAGATACTTGGGAATGCCCTTAGCTCCAACTACATTGGACAAATGGAGACTGTCAAAGATTGGTTGAAAAGATGACTGCAAAGATAAAAATCTGGTCTTCAAGGAATTTGTCTTATGCAGGAAGAACATTACTTATCAATTCTGTGTTGCTGTGTTTAAACTCTTACTGGGCTAGTATGTTTTGATCCCACAGAATTTCATACAGCAAATAGTTAAATGTTGTAGAGACTTTTTGTGGGGAAAGAAGGAGACTGGGAAAGTTTGGGCTTTGGTTGCTTGGAACCAAATATGTAGACCAAAAGGAGAAGGTGGTTTGAGTATCATAGCACCTGGAATTTGGAATAGAGCCCTATTAGGGAAACAACTGTGGGATATTGCAAATAATAAAGAGAGTCTGTGGATCTGATGGGTGCATATGTATTACATCAAAGGGAAGAACTGGTGGGATTATAAGATGAAAAATGATGTTAGTTGGCATTGGAAGAAATTATGTGTCATTAAAGATCAGTTAAAAGGTGGCATCAATCAAGGGATTTGGCAGGCAAACAATGGGAAAAAGTACACAGCCAGTGGTGGTTACAGGTGGATGAGAGGAAGAGATCAGAAGTTTGCTGCTGCTTGTATAGTATGGAATGGCTACAGTCTTCCAAAGCACAACTTTATAAGTTCGCTAGCTTGGCATGGCAGGCTGCTGACAACAGACAGACTAGTGAAGTTCCATGTGCCAGTTACTGAGACTGAGTGTTGTTTATGTCATCAGGCATCTGAAAGTATTGGTCATCTGTTTTTCACATGTCCTTATGTAAGAAATCTGCTGCTGGAAATGCAAAGGTGTATAGGATCAATGGAGAGTATTGAGTCTCTGAATGCAGCAAAACTGAGGAGAGTATGGAGATTTAGCAAGGTTAAACAGAAGATCTTTTATGCATGTTTAAATTCTGTTGTGTATAATGTGTGGCAAGAAAGAAATGGCAGGAGATTTGGAGAGGTGGAGAAGACAGTAAATGAGAGAATAGGCAAAATGAAACAGGAGCTAAGCCGGAAATTTGTATATACCATAAGGAAGTTTAAAACAGCAGAAAAACAATTGTTGCTTGAGTAGGAATATATGTAGAGGTTGGCAGTTGTAAAGTGTTTGTGTGCTTTGATTTATATACAGATTTACATTTCATAAAAAAAAAAAAAAAAGAGAGAGAGAGAGAGGGAGAGAGACTAATTTCTATGATGAATTAATAATTTCTTAGAATTGATGAATGATTAATCAATTATATTCTTTATCTTTAGAAAAAATGAAATATTTATGGATAAGTTACAGCGCGCCTAAACCGATAAAAATTAATGTAAAGGGCAAAAGAAGGGAATGGATCAAAGAAGCAAGATGTAACAACAATTTGGATTTTTAAAAAGAGGTACAAAAATATTAACCATAAAAACTTGACTGGAGAAATAATAAGATCAAAACATCATCAAAGCAAACACAACAACAACAGCAACAACAACGACGCGATTACAAGTAATTTTATTTTTTCACTGTGTAGAGTCGGCTATATAGATCACATGACAGCAGGAGCTCGATCACAATAACAGCACTGCTCCATCAAAATGAAATAAATGATCATTTGGATTCAGGACAATATTCAGCGCAATATTTGAAAGATGATCCTTGATCTTTATGACACTTCATTTTCACGTCATCTCTGTGACAGCAATCAGCATCCGTCTTGCATTCTCCCCCAGAACCGACGCAACACTTGTTATAGTTACACGACGCATCCGCGTAACCGTCGCTATTGTGCTTCCTGACCTTACAGCAATCCGAATTTACCTGACATGCCTTGCTAGGAGCCTTGCAAGTTCCCGGTGATGGAGGAAATGGAGGCGGCGGCGAAGGAGGACAACCAGACCCAGACTGGCCTCCACCACCAACTCCAATCTGTATCCCAATCCCAACATTAGCTTCAATTAGCTTCCTTGTATTAGAAGTCTTCTTGCTTTCTTCAACTTGATCTCGGGTCAAGGGGATGAAGCTTTCAGGATCAACTATTGCGACTGATTCCGACGACGCCATAGCTTTTGTTGTTGTTGGTGATACGAGGAGAACTGCATAAAATCATTCATTCATTAATTTAAATTTTAGTTTCAGTCAATACCCTATTGTGCATAACTGTGGATTTGTTGACGTTGTTAGGATAAAACCTTGGTTGGAATATGAGATTTCTAGTCTACGTAATGCAAATAATTTCATAATCTAAGACGTGGTCTTCTTTATTGTACCAAAACATAAAAGAACTAATTAAAATCAAGGAGAAACAACCAGTTTTAATAGAACAAAATTAACTATGAACAAAGCTAGAGTGTGAGACTTACAAGAAATGATTGCTGCGAGTAAATAGACCATAAGAGAAAAAGATGACTTCTCCATAGTTTGAATAGGTAGAAGAACCTGTGCTTGCTATTAGTAAAAGATTGAAGTAATGTGCATTTTTGTAGGTATTTTGGGGCTTAATTTATAGGGGTATCGACTTGGTTGTTTCAAATTTTTATATTACTCCACGAATTTGGAACTGTTAATTGATTTATTTTGATAATGTCATGGCGACAATATATACTGAATTAAACGAAGTAACAAACTGATGATGATGACCCATGACTTGACTAATGATCACCTCAACTACAAAATATTCTTCTTTGACTTCTTTGATGTTGTTTAAACGCTGCAACGAGGGGTTTTTTTTTTTTTTTCCCCTTTAAGAACAAAAAAAAAGAAGAGAGAGAGAGAAAGAGAGAGAATTTCCAGTTAGTTGGTACTACTTCCGTCCCACAAAAATAATCCATATTGATTTTTCAAATTTGTACTAAAAACAGTACAAAACTCAAAAACTCAATGTGGATTATTTGTGTGGGACAGAAGGAGTAGTTTCCAGTCGAATTGATATAACCTCATTCGCTGAGGTAATCCCACAGCGACATGATGCAATTAACCTCATTTGGGTTTTCATACTACCTCTATCCCAAGAATAGAAATAAAATTAGTCCAATTGAATTTAGAAATTAATTCTACTAAGAATAAATAAAACTTAAAACTCAGTATGCGAACTACTTTTTTTTTTACGATATAGAGAATACATTTGTAATCTTTTATTATTATTCTTATAAACCATATGAAATAACTCAAGATCGATCCAAATACTAGATATTACACACCTATATGTAATCAAAGGTTATATATTATTTGATGTTCATTTGAAAAAACAGATTTATTAGAAGGGATCAAAGAAATTAAAAAAAAAACAATAATGTGAACAAATTTATGAGCTTATATAGATATACCTCGAAAAATGATACTCAAAGTGTTAGTTTTGAAAATATATAAATCAAAACAAGTGAGTGAAATGTTATACTCAATTCCTGGAAAAATAATGATGTGTTGTTAAATTAAATTAACACTCTCCTTTAGGCCCCAAAAACTTAATCAAGTTTATTGTACTATTTTAGTTCAATAAAGTGAATAATTTTCCTGAGACGTAGACCAGTACAATGAAAATTACTTTTTAATTTGCTGGATGGATAAAATAAACATTATTCGAAGTTGGCTGAATGTATGTTGTTATAGGATCCTTTTCACTCTGCAAAGTCCTCAACATCATGATGATCAACGAGTTTGTACTTTAATACTCATTTTTTTTGCTTAAATATAATGATAATGGCATGAAAACAGGAAAAAAAAAAGTATAAAGAAAGCTGATCATAATCCATTGCCTATAGGCTGAAGGGATTTGTTGTGCCGCTCAATTTCTCATCTCAACCAACCAGTCATGGCTTCAACGACATAGAGTAGCACGCACGAAATAAAGAATAAAAATTGCCATTAGATGAAGAGATTAATGACACCTCGACCCAAACATTCTTCGACTGCTTTTATAAAGTTTCTTCTGATGGTATCGGGTATGAGGATGTGATTGCGGTCTTTTTTCAAAAGTGGCCACCGTCGACAATATTCGTTAACTCAGGAAAAAAAAAAAAGTTACTTATATATTCATAACGAATTTCGAATCCCAACTTAAGGTTTAGGGGATTAGTCCCTGCACCCAATCACGATCCCTTTGATTTTGTGATCCATTTTTCATGTCGAAGAGGCTAGCTAATTCGTTCGAGTTGTAAGAGCTCAGTTGACTTTTTTTATTTTTATTTTTTGACAGTAAGCTTAGTTCAATTATTGGTAATAAATATAGTCAGCCTCGGAAAACGTCGTATAAACTGGATAAAATGCTCAGTTTGGTGAGGATCCACTGAACGAAAAAATGGTTAATTTGGAAATTACAAAATACATGCTCCGACGTAGAAGGGCTTGTTTGTCCAACTTTTATTTTGCCTTTTGCCTCATTTTACCTCTTAAACACAAATTTCAATGCACTATCTAAATAATATCTTAACTTAACTTTTAAAAAATATTCCAAAAATTATTTTTACACAATTTTCGTCCACCACCACCACCACCACCGCCCGCCACCACCAGACCGTCCCGTGTCACTGCCGGCCAGATTCCGGTCAAATTCCGTCGCAAGAATTTAGACGGTTCGGCGGCAGCAGGGGGTGGTCCGGCGGCAGAAGTTGGTCGATGGTAGTAAAAAAATATATTATTTTAATTAAAACTATCCAAATAATTTTTAAAATTTTCTGACAAAAATATATTTTGAATCACATTTCAAACGTAAACCAAAAATTAAACGAAAAACTAAAATAACCCATCATCCAAACAAGCCCTAATTATTTTTACCAAAAAAGAAAAAAAAATAAAGAAATAATAATGAAATTGGGCTGTTTGGTTTGGATATGAGGCTTTTGTCTGATACTATTCCCATCTTGACACGTGTTAATACTAACAAACTAACAAAATGATAACTTACAGTAATGATTCGGTAATAGAAACATGCAACATGTTTAAACTTTAAAAGGCTACTAGATGCTTGGTCCGGGGATGCCCAGCATGCTCAAATGTACTTTAATATAATAATTATAATAATAATAATAATAATAATAATAATAATAATATTTGGTTTATGTGGGTAAAAAATAAATATATCAAATTCGAAGGGCATTAAGGGTATATAATTGATTTATATGGGTAAAAGTTTAAAAAATCAAACTCGGACGGCAAGAAGGGTAAATAATTGTTCTGCAAAAAAAATAAACAAAAAAACCAACTAAACTAGTTTTGTTTTTTGGTCGTTGTTTGTATCGAACAAATCTGGAAATGGGGTTTAAACTTTAGAAACTTCATCACAATTCATTCTCATTTTAGAAGGTGCTGAATCCAAAAACAAATCATCTGATAGTCGGCGTCAATTCATCGACCGGGCGTCGAACAAAATCTCATGTGGTTTTGTTTTTTATAATCAATACAATCAGTTTCGAATGTTATCTTCATATTCATCCGATTAAAATGGGGGGTCAGATCGATTGAATTACTCCGCATCATTTCAATCAATTGAAGGTCAAAAGGGTGTTCACAGATCACTCCGTCCAGCATTTGTTATGGATATCTGTCAGTTGCTGTGTATATATTCTGATTCAGTATCAATGGGTTCGTGAGATAGAAGATTATTCGATTTTAAGTTTCTGATTTGCTCGTTCAATTCTCTAGGTGGCCATTCACATGTCAACAAATATTCTCTCTGACTTTAACCTTTTTACCTGTGTCTGCTATGAATGCTTCAGGGAAAGGAAACTATTCCTATAAACTGGAACTATGGCCACTACAGCTAGTTCAGCTGCTCAGAAGTACTATATATTGAATTGGATGCTACAGACAGAATAGTTGGCAGTCCAGGTACATTACAAATTCCTATGACCTAACCTTCTGCATCTATGGTTATGTACATTACAATTGGTATTGTAATGATTTATCATATGTTATTGTTTATGTAGATATTCTGATAGAGTTAAAATATTCATTACATAATACAGTCCAGCTTAGCTCATGGTCCAGTTTATTTTAATGTGTATCCAAATTTACAGTTATCATTGTCTGATGTTAATATACTCGATGCTTTAACATTAAATATAAAATTAAATGGTTATAATTATTTACCGGGAAGTGAACTTATTTGTTTACATTACCGTATTTGTTTTAAATTATTAAATACTTTAACACCCAGATGTAAGATTATAAGTAAACCATCTGATGAAACCATACTTATAAAAACTAATTTTTATAAATCTCAAATTAGTACTCGTAAAACTATTAAATGGGAAGAAATTGAATTTCCAGAGTCTTGGCAAATTAATAAAGGAATTAAACGAAACTCATTAACTCATAATGTTACAAGTTGTAATATTACAGAAATTGAACAATCTGATAATGTTCAGATAAGTATTACTTTTGATAAACCAAAAATTCCTAAATTACTAAGATCTAGCTCTCAAAGATCTTTTAAATCTTATATTGATCCAGCCGATTCTCATAGATTTTCGACATCTTCAATTCTTGAAATAGATTTAACAAATAGAATAAATCAAGTAAAAATTGATCCATATAACATTGTTCGGTCTGCTGATAGTAAGACTTATGATAAGGATATGCCTTCACCTTCTGAAATGGGTTATCATGGCGAATACCGAAAAATTAGATTTTAGTCCAGGATCTAATATTAGACAAATAATAAGACAAGAATTTCAATCAAAAGTGGAAACTTTTCAGAGAATGGTTCTTTTCTACTTATGATATTAAAAATCAAAAACTTATACAAAAAGAATTTTATGAATATGCTTCTTTTCACAATCAAATAATATATTTTGTTCCGTGGTTTATAATCACTTATCTTGATAAATATATTTTCCTCCTTGAAAGAGAATATCATCTTGCAGATGGAAAAATTACAAAAGGAATTTACCCTCCACAAAAAGAATTTGTTCTAACAAATGCAACTCATATAACTTTTTCTGCTTTTCAAAAATTAGTTGAAAGTGAAGTTTTACCTTCTACTGTTTCTTTAGTAAATAAATTTATTCAGCAAAAGAATTATACAAATTTATATGTAAAAATTTTAGGAGAACAAATTAGTTCTT